GGCAGCCGTGCGCGCTCGATGAGCTCACTACTCCTCTAGTTGACGGCCACTCAAGCCAGGACCTACGACGTCATGAAGGAGGTTATTTTTTGCTCGTTTTTGTAAAAAGCGAAATTTGAGAAAAGAAAAGTTTCTTGAAGTTACTACGTTCAGTGCGCTCAGGTTCGGTGCAAATTAAAAACCAGTCAAAACGTTGTTGCAGGGCCCCTTTAAGTTACTTCGGCTGTTTTTCAGAAAGTGGATGGTGGCCTAGATTCAACTCCGGAGACATTGCTTTTGTGCCCACGGTGGCTTATCTTTCACCTCCAAGTTAGCACAAAGCTTGTTCTCTCTCCTTCCTGTTTACGTGTTTTTTTCATTCCATTTCATTAGCCCACTTTAATATATTTTTTTTCTTGAACTTAATTTTTGATCGGTATCCAAGCGTGCGAAGGTACAGGGACACAGCACTTCGGCGTGCCAAGGAAGCTTTGAGCACGGCGCCAGACGGGCGAAATTTGCTTTCGACGAGTTGTGCTTTTTCCCTGCGACACTGCTCTTTCGTAAAAATTTCCACGTGTTCTCAATGGCAAGTATCAGGCCTCACTTAGGATCTTAAAGAACGTCTTCGGCGAATGACGACAAACGAGTAGAAAACGTCTCTTTAGCACACTGTCCCCGGCGTTTTCAACGCTAGCAAAAAAAAAAAAAAAAAAAAAAAAAAAAACGGCATGCGAGATGGTTGTTCGGTGGCCGCACTCGCGCCACAGTGCTCGCGCTGCGGCGAACAAGCGGGGATGCGCGATCCACCGAACACTGAACAGAAAAGCCAGAACCAAAAGTGCAAGCTCAAGGTGCAAAAAAAAAAAAAAAAAGAAAAAAAAGAAAGAAATACGGAAGATTTTTTTTATGTTTGACTTTGCTACGGCAGGAACCGTGAGACAGAGATTGCAACACGGTAGGAATCCAGCTATGAGCACTGCAAACAAGAGTTCTCGCAAAGTTTCACGCCTGTCTGAGCAGGCTCCTAGAGTAAAAAATGGAAAAATAATAGAAAAATCGACAACCACGAGAAAGCCTGCAATAATTTTTTCTGGTGTTTGGGTATTTTTTTTAAAGTACTGTCACCTGTGAATGCAGTGTTTAGGGTACCCTACTTGAAGAAGGTGCAGCAAGTACCATGTCTACCATACGCTATGTGCGTGCCGCGATGGCGCCACCGTCTGTCGCGCCATAAGCGCATGTGGAGGCGGCGGTTTACGAGAGTGCGGGAGTGGCCATACGTCGCGCTTTTTGCGACCCAACAGGATAAGTGACGGTGTAATATATTTTAAAGCAAAGTGCTCCAACTTAGGAAACCAGAATTATTCTGACAATCGCCTGCTTTCCATGGAAGAGGATTCTTGCAGCGATATCCAGCAGGTAGGCAAAGTCGTGGCTAAATGTTTCGCGCAGATGATTCTTCGACGACCGAGTGCATTGTGTTCCCTTTTTTTTTAAGTGTGCCATCTTACCCAGGCAATTTTTTACGCTGACTAGGACTAGTAGGGAGTTCAGTTTTCGTAGTTTCTTTTATTTCCCCTTTGCCGGACCTTCCGCATCAAAAATGCTGTGTCTGCAGGGTTCCGAATGACGTTGCAATAAGGAGTGGCGTACCAATTTGTTTTCAAATGAGGGGGGGGGGGAGCAAACCAGACCCCGCCGCCTCCCCCCTCTCAGGGCCGGGGTGGGTGCCCTAGGTATCCCTTGGGCGCCGCCGTGCAGTGTTTGCCCTGCCCAGTGGCGGCTGTTTCAAGGGGGGGGGGGGGGGACTCGGGAATGCTGAATTGATCTACGGAAACTCCCCAACCTGAGTGCAAATCGCACTCGTAAAGGCATCGTGCATGACTAGCCCAACGCGGGAATGCCCATGCGGTTTCGTCAACACCTGCGCCCTAAGCCTGGGGGACACAAACATTGCAGCAGTCGTCGACGAGCCAAATATAGTCAACGAGCTTCTTGATTTCTGCTTCATGCTTCTTGATTTGTGTCACAAATCAATAATCATGAACAGACGCGAACAACGCAAAAAAGTCGGTTTAGCATTTATTTGTAAATAAAAATGTGCAAATGTTTTAGCTGGCAAAAAAGGTATTTACACACTTCACATATTTCGGAGATAAGAAGAAAAATTTCAGGCACTTATATTTGATGTGTAAATTGCCACAGCTACGTTAACCTTCATGCACTTAGGTTTCCCTTCTTTTTTTCATGTTAGAGAGACTGTGGTGGTCTAGGCAAAGTGGTGAGGCTCATTTATTTGCACACGAAGTAGGTGGTTCGGGAATTTGAACGTCTCCGTTCACGGACTGCCACTAGGGTTTGCATCAAAACGGTGTCCGTTGCCGGCTAAAGTCACTTTAGTGCCAGCTACACGCAATTTTGTACCGTAAAAACTAAATAAAAAAACGACGCGAACAGAGCTTGCGTGGCGGTTCACACCGTGAAACCTCTGGGATACATTGCCACGACGCTCCGCCGGCTCCACTGCCTACGGCTTGCCCGGAACTCGCTAGAATTTCACAAGGGAAAGCCTCTCAGCTTTATTCATTCAGCCGCTGAAGCAATCGTACATGCAACGAAAAATCAGCAGTAACTTCGTTGTCCACAATGCTGCGGACAACCTAACGAGGCATGGGAAACGCTGTCTCGCCCGCGGAAACGGAGCGCCGTGGACGTATACCGATAGATCCTACTTTGACCACCAGACGGCTGCACAGAACACCTGTGCATGGAGGGTTTAAGTGAGACCTCCTTATTCAGGCATTCTTTTGACCATGTAAAACTTGTTGAACGTGAACTCTGGATGTGATGGCTACGGCAGAACGGTGCGCCCAAGGTGCGCATTGTAAGTTCACCACAAGATGTGACCTTCAGCGTTGTGATTATACACGTGTGCAAGTACGGGCTCAGGGCGCCGCGATCTTGCTCGGTTTATGGCCGCGCCCAAGCGAACTCCTACAATAAAAACAGAAACCAGGAAAACATAAAAGGCACACTCAACCATGCAATCACGACCCAAACTGTCTCGCCACAAAGGGATTAATCGATAAACGCATCGCTAGCCCCCATTCATAATAAAAAAAAGTTTTTTTTTCTTGTTTGCTAATGCCACAGATGGCTTGCTTATACATTGCGCTCCGTAATTAAAAATGTGGAAGGCGTTTATCACTTCTCTCGTCACCTTATTTCGGTGCCTTCCTTACATAGCGGTCAACGTTACTCGATCAACTCAGTTGGCAAACTCCTACGGAGAGCGTGACTCCCCAGACACGCGCTGACACACTTCAGTTTCCGCTGATAACCCATAGATTCGGATATGCTGTTTGAAGCGTTATCGTTCTTGCCCGCTGCGGCCGTGTCTGAACTGCTGTTGCAAGACGCGCCGCGAGCAAGAACGTTGCCGCTTTGAACAGTGTTCGCCCGGCTGAGGGGTACGAGAAGGAATCATGCTCTCCATGGGAGTTTGCCAACTGAGTTGATCGAGTAACGTTGAGAGCGGTCTCATTAAGGGATGATTTGCACTTGCAAGTCCTATAGTGCACCGACAGGTGGCCGCCGACCGTATCTCAAGGAATATTCGTGTTCCCTGAGCTTGTGTTTTAAGCCTCTACCGGTTTGTCCCAATATAGACCTTGCCACAAGAGAGGGGTATCCTGTATACAACAACCAAAGTACAAGACACAAACGCTTTGGAATCCTTTTTGGTACAATTGTTTTTTGGAAGCCCCTTTGCCTTTGAGTTGACCCTCGAACAAATTTGGCTCATTATCTCGGGAGCAGAAAACAGACCGGGATGCCATACCGACCTTGTGCTTTGTGATGTGTGTTCTGATACAATATTGTGTGTTCCTTTTCTTAGTCCTCGATGTTACGTGCTGTTTCACCTACACCATGTTCATACCTTTCAATTTAGTTGTTAAAAAGGTAATTACTCGAAATAGGTATCAAGTAGTTATGCCGAATGTTATTAATTTTCCAAAATAGTCCCTCAGGCACAGACCAACAACAAATAAATATTTTCTGTGCTATGCGTACTTTTCACAGGAAGGATTTGACTTGCATTTCAAGAAACACCCTGTATATCCTCTTCCTTCATGTTTTGTGTAACTCTTTTTGTTCTAGTAGTGCAAGCAGACTTACAGTGTCGGCGACGGCTCGTTTTGAACGTGGAGACGCGTAGTACATTTGTTGACACTTCTTGTATCTTGCAGGGTCGGAATGCGACACCCCAAAGATAAACGCAGACGAGACATCGGTTGTATTGACACGCCGTTCAAGAACGACCTTCATTGTAGTCCTCTTAAAATCCGCGATGTGTAATATACGTTACCGAAACACCCAATCACGCCTTTGTCACTTCATTGCATTTTTTCAGTCATACATCCGGCACCGCATAAACTTACGAACTGCAGGATTTACCTTGATTCTAGTGGTGCCCTAATCAGCATCATCCCAAAGAGTACTCCTGCAAGGTCTATTAAATATTTTGAAATACAAAGTCGTAAGGTTTTTTTTTTTGTATATAAATTATGAGATTGTGATTGGTCCTAAGTGCAAGCTTTGCTTGCGGCTTTCAGTTTGCAGTCTAAGATATCTGGAGGGACTACTCTCCCGCAAAGTACCTGGAGGAGCAAATCATTGTTGGTAATAGGTATGGGACAAGAACTTTAGTCTGCACCTTTGCAAAGAGCATGGCGAAACGTGACGCTCAGTGCCACAGTGAGTTCTTTATATGTTTCAAGATATTAACAGCCTCGTAACTCGCCGAGCTCGTACCGCACATTGCAAAGATCGGTACTTGGAAGTGCTTTGCGGGAGAGCTATCGCTCAGAAGTTCTTACGGTGTGAGTATAAGTGCTTTTTTATTCTTTTTTTTTTTTTTCTTTGCGAAAAACTTTAGAGCCATACAGTTGTACTTCTTTCGCGTTGGATGAACGTGAATGGCTTATCCATAATTAGAACTGGTTGTTAAAAAATATTTAGGCTGATTTTGAAATTTTGTTGGCGTGGACCACAAAGATGTCTGTGTGGTATTGTGTGTCCCCGGCTGGTTCCTGGGTCCACAACTTGCGGATGACATCCGCCATGTCGGTCTTAAATTTCATCTTGGATACTTCGGACAGCAGTGGTAGAATAGGATTTAGTGAGACTTCGAGTTCTGAAAGAGAGGTAAATGCGAACAGACGTTTGACCACTTAGGATAGAAAAAAGAGAGATAAGAAGAAAACTGTGTTCGGCAAAAGTCCCACAGGCGAAGTTATCGTCCCTTCAAACTGCCATCAATCCCTTTGACCCACGCGGTAGACACATACTCTAGCTACGTAATCAACGCATAGATTTAGGCACGTATTATGACAATGTCAAAGCGTTTGAAGGTCCCCCCCCCCCCCTCCCCAAAGTTACCCGCTTAGGTTCTCAGTAATTCCTTTACGAGTTCAATAGGACCATCAGTCGTCACAGACGATCTTTACTGACCATATTCGTCAAAGATTCCTGTACGTCCTTCCTGAAGATGCTTGCGAGTGACGGTCTCGTTGGCGCATAATGGAAGGGCTGAGAACGGCGGAATCCTCCTTCGGGGAGTGCTTGAAAAACGTGTGCCGCATCCTAATAACAGCATAGATCTATGCGGCGACTACGTGAAAAAGCTGCTAGAGTACGCATCTAAATCCCGTGGATATTAAGAAAGTTTTCATGACAAAACAAAAAATCATCGAATAATGAAAAAAAAAAAGAACTATACAAGCTTAATCAGGGAGCACAGAATGTGTTCGGCGCAAGCTATGACCTCGCAGAGCCACCTTACATTACGTGAAGGGGCCATGCCACCTGACATGAACTTCCCCACTAAATGTAGAGGGAAGAATAACATCGGGTGACTTGAGGTTACATCACGTGTTCACGTTGCATCGATTTCCCCCCTTGCAGGGAAATTGACGTAATGTGACTGGAGGTCACATGGCGTGGTCACCTGACGTCAATTTCCCCGCTAAATTTAGCGGAGAAAACGACGTCACGCGACGTTTTTTCCATGCTAAATTCAACGGAGAAACAGACGCCACGTGACTTGAGTTCACATGACGGTCACGTTACCTTCGTTTTCACGCTTAATTTAACGGGGAAAGTGACGTCAAGTGACAATGATTTATCGGCTAAATTTAGTGGGGGAATTTGACGTGACGTTCAGTTATGACGGTCCTTCGTGGTGATTCATCCTGACGGTTCTACATAGTGGTTTTCTCACAGAATTCGACTGATAAAACATCAGAAATCAGCCCTCGTACTTACGGATGAATTGGTCCATATTCATGCCGGTTCGGTCCTGGGTCAGCACTTGGCATGTGAGTGGCTTGAGGTTGGCCGTCTCCAGAACATTCAGGATATACGAGTTAAGGCCTGACCTGCCCTTGATGTCCTGGCTTGGCGGAATAAAGCGCTCAATGACCTGCGATAAAAATAGATAAATAATATATTATGTGAATCCAGTTTGTTGTGGAATTTCACTCCATGAATATTGAGCTGTCCTTGCTTGCTTTTGTCGGGTGGTATTCTATTTCTACGTTGTAAGCTCGTAAAATCGAAATTTCGCTTCTGCAAGTGGGTCGAGTTTTCAGAGTTTCATGAACTAAAGTATAGACAGCGGCAACATGGACAGACCGAATTCAGTGCTACTCAAAAGAGATAAAAATGCGGCATGGGGAGTCTCCGGTACGGTAAGCTGTACCACCGACTGCCGTATTCCGACTTTATAGGAAATGTAGCATCTTATTCGAACCTTTTGCTTTTTACAGCTTAACATGTGTGGGGCTGCCCGCATGACTTTTGCGCCGTCTCAGCATGCATGATTGCCGCCGGGTTAGCTCATATACATAGATTGCGTGTGACGTACGTCATTTGCGGCCACGCCATTGTTTCCTGCGCCGCGAGCGTTCGGTTCGCCGTGTTAGCTTCACACCGCAGATGTTACAGTTCGAAGAAACCGGTAAGTAGAAAAAAAAAAGTTAATACCCAGCAATGCCGAAACTTGCAAGCTATGTATACGCCACACCCTGTACCTAAAACAGGCTCCTTTCGGGCGGAAAGAAATATTGGAAATAATACTCGTCGTATTTGATATAATACTTCAGTCAGGTCTTACTGCCTCGCGGCTCTTCTCAGAAGCAGCCGCTGTCGGACCTAAAGCTGTCCTCACCAGAGTTACTGAATGGCGGAGTCATAGTATCGCCTTCTTTTTTAATATGCGAAATCATTAACTATCTCATAGAGCGAGCTGACGTCACCAGCTTTAAAACCTAGTTTCCTCGCTCTTAATGGAGCGCAATGAAGCCGAAACCCGATGGATTTTGGCTTCAGTCCCATTGGCAGGAGCGCGCCATCGTTTCAAGGAACGAGGCTCTTATTGGCCGCTGCACGTCGGTTTCAACGACGCGCAGCGGCCAAGGAGAGCGCAAGGGCGAGGAGAGCGCGCGCTCGGGCGTCCACGCCAGTACGCCGCAGACGAAATAAGAACAACCTACATGCTGTCGCTCAAGTGTTGGAGATATTCACAGTAAAGTTTCAAGGTATTCAGTGTTTGCTTTTTAAGCAACCCTTCCTGAAATTTTTGAAACCATGAGTGATGTGCCGATTTCGTTGTGGCAATGGAGTGGAATTTTATATTGTCATGTTGATACCAATTCTTAGCGAAATATAAAACGCACTCTAATCCATGGCATCACTGCGTGAAAAGAGTTACAGGAGGAGTCCTGTGAGCACTCGGCTGCGTGGGCCCAATTTGTTTTTGTTGTAGTTGTACTGGTCAACATTGCAGGTTGTTTTTATGTGCGAATCTATTTAAAACACTTAAAATTAAAACTGAAATTTTTACAAAATAGCTGAAGAGGTCATTGACCGCTAGCATTAGGCTTAAAGTAATGGCATACGAGTACTATGTTGGAAAAGGTAATGCAAGCTGGCAATTAGCAATTGCCTGGCGCGTTCTGGTTAACATAATAACTCGAGGAAGTTTCTGTACATATTATAGGTCAGCTCTCCTTTTCTCTAACCATATAGCGCTTGTAATGAAATTTAATACAAGTGTCGAGTGTAGTGATAGTGCTCAGTTTCGTATAAGAGAATTTCACGATTTCTGTGTAGCACTGGACTGAAAGAGCCTGTAAACGCACTCCTTTGTAAGGCTTCCATCGATCCATCTCCACAAGTTTTCTCCATATCTTGTAGAGACCGAGGCGAGCCGGGAACACCAGCAAGCACTCCCCTTCGTCAGTCATCAAATCGGCCACATTGCGGAGGGCAGCAGTGAGGTCTTGCACCCAGTGCAGGACGTAGAACGAGTAGACCCGGTCAAACTTGCCGTACTTCTCGACGAGTCCCGAGATGTCGCTTTCGACGTCACGCACCTCGTACGCGATCTGCGCATGCGTGAAGTTCTCCTTGGCGTACTCCACCATATCCCGGGAGACGTCCGTGGCCACAATCCTGCGGCAGGGCTGGCAGCGCGGCAGCAGCTCTTGGAGCGTGAAGTCGCCCGTCCCGCAGCCCAAGTCGATGAACTGCTGACTAGGGTTCGGTTTTGTAGCAAACGATATTTGCGGCGAGTCGAGCACTTTGATGTTAGTGGAACGCTGGTAATTGTTGGCTTTTATGTAGAGCTGCGGAGCGATCGTCGGCTCGAGCGGCAGCTTTTCAGCAGCGTTGGCATCGGAAGAAGCGGTGGCCATGTTGCCGCGGTCGTGTCGACAGCGGTTGAAAAAACACTTGTTTTGGTGATTGCTTCAGTAGAAATCCCTGAAATGTAGCGTAATCGCACAAATACCTTTATATAAATCTGCGTACGATTGTCACAAAAAATGTTTTCTTAATATTTGCTTATTTTTTTAGCATTTACAGTTTACCTGCAAGAGGAAATTAGCTGTAACCAGCAAAAGACAATAGACACGGATAGACACACAGGACATGAGGAGTGCGCCGTCTGAATACCGAGTAAATTTAACATAACGCTCTGAACGGTCCTGCTATATTAGGCAATACATAAACCAACTATGGTAGCTGCAAGCTCAAGGTGCGCAGGGGTATATCCAGCATCTTATTATTACTTATCCAAAGGGATTGTGGTATAATAGCCGATAAGCACGACAAAGAAAGAGTCACAAAGCTAGAGGTGTGAACATTCTAGGCCACATTCTGCTTTCCTCAAACTTTCAGCGATTACATTAAGACAAACGTGAATAAGGAAAACAAAAGTAAGGACCTCAAGACCTTCAAATACAATTATATTTCTTGCACCAATTTTAATAATTAAACCAACTAAATTGATGCTTTGAAGTGTAGTACCTGTTTTTTTACAAAGGATAAACTGAAGACCGCGAGCATGCAAGTCTGCGAGTTTGACCGCGGGCTTCTTGAATAGAATAGAAAGCAAAGCAGAGTAAGAAAACATTCTGCAAGTTAAAAAGGGGTGCTTCCAACTTTCAGGTGTGACTATTGTGCGTAACTTATTGTAACAATATAAGTTACGTTTTCGCAAGAGAAAGCTTCGCTTCAGCTCCAAGGTGCACTCGAGCGGATTATAAGATCGCCTGTTTGTAATCTCTTAACAGGCTCTTAACATTCTAACAATGCCAAAATTACACTCATGGGCGGCCGATTTACCCATTAAAATTATAATCAAAAATTGTGAAACGACCCTCTTAACGCGCCTTGGAGCAGACACTGGCGGGGTCGCCGTCAGACGGCTTTTTCAAACAATAATTGCGGCATTACGTCTCCTACACCCAAAGAGTTGATTTTTTTTTGTCAAAATACAATGCACAACGCGACTGAGAAGAGTAATAATAGTAACGTTCGGAATCTCCCACGCAATTAACTATTCGCATTGGTCAAATTTTATGGACGTGGTGGGGACCTGAAAAAGACCCCCCCCCTTTTTTTCTCCCCTCCCCAAGAGAAAATAGTGCCCGTGTATTCCTATTGCTGTTAGTTATCAGGACTTCCTGTCATCGAGAACTTGTCATTTTCATTGACTAAAGCCCAGCAAACAATATGCCATCAAACATAAGCTTCGGCAAACAGCCACTTGGGTGTCCCTTTAAGTACTAACGCAGCCTACACTACAAGTTAATGGTACCGATCAAGCTGCGTGAAAAATGCAAATCACTAGGCCTTTTCTGTTTATGATTGATTCAGCGACGATAGAACACGTACAGAAACACGACGAACATCCTGATGGTGCGCCTTCGACTCGGTCTGGTTGATCGCATCTGCTCGTAGCGTCGGCTCCGCCCATAACAGTATAATATGGCCACTGAGAGCTTACCAAACGCAGAACGTGGTTTATAACGCTGTCTTATCGGTTAATTCCGGAAGCTCAGTGGTTGCGGAGTGATCATAACACGTTCGGGATCCATTTCTTCTCGTGTTGCGGAAGCTGTCCGTGCCTATAGTGACATTTCATGAATCGTTCACATTGGATCACTTCGAAATCTGTCCGTGAGCCTGTACGTTCAAAGACCTCTTTTTGTATAAAGCAGGAATTAAAAAAAAAAAAAAAAAAAAAAAAAAACAGATATTCAATAAAAGCTATAAACGTTGGTTGAGTTCTCTACACAGCCACTTTTTATTAAACCTTAATTTGGCGCAAAGCTACAGCGATTTCTTCGAGGAACAACTTGTTGCTCGATGAAAATGCCCTTCGGCAATGTACACTAGACAGGCAGAGCTCCGTATCTCAGTCGTTAGTGCAACATGCACTTTTCAAAGGTACGAGTTATCTAGACGATGCTCCTGCAATGGCCCGAGTGCGGATTCTTTGAGCATGAACTCTGGGCACGAGGGTCGCGTTTGCGTTGGGCGAGAACTTGGATCCAGTCACTCGCTTAGTGTCCAAAATGTGGCGGGCCGCGGCTGTGAATGTTGCCCGATGGATTATCGAGCAGTCCAGAGTCGGGAGATATTCTTCGCAAACACGCTTTCGCGAAGGGTGTATCTTCGCATTGTGCCACGAAGTCATTGAGGCTCCCTCTCTCAATTATTAGCTATTAGCTATGACCACAAGAACGATTAAATCGGAATAAATGTGGAAGGCAACCCGCGTTAAATATATATATGTGAAGATTTGATATTGTTCTGTTGTTGTTGTTGTGCTATAGCTATATAGCGTTCTGTGTTTTCGGTAAATACCGGGAAACCCCGAAAACTATACTCCCGAGTCGTTTTTTATCAAACTCGGGGAAAATCGAAAAAATTCTGAATTGGGGCTGTCATTCAATGATCAAAACCGAGGCTTCACGGGAAAGAAATCATCAGTCAGGCCCCCGCGAGGCTTCGTGCGTCGAAACCACACATCATATCTAGTTTGTTTTTTGCTATTGGTACGGGGATGTGTTCCAAGTATTAGGATCACGCGTATGTTCCTTGGAGGTTAGATAATTTTGTGCCCTTGTTTTATTATTTTTAACATAATCCCCAATGAACCCCGACTTTTCGTCCGACACCAAAAATTGACACCCCAAAACACCGAATCAGTAAAAAAAAAAAAAAAAAAAACAAAAAAAAAAACAAACTACCCCCTCAAAAAAAAAAAAAAAAAAAAAAATTTTGAGTAAAATACACACCGAAAACACGGAACCCTAGACTACAGCTAGGGTGTTGTATATTCGGTAGACACCGATAAACCCCAAAAAAGTAACTCTCGAGCCGTTCACCAAGACCGGGCTAAACCGAAAAAGAAAAACGGTTTAGAATTTACATTGAATGAGAAAAAGGAAAACAAGTTTCAAGGAAAGAAAAGCATCTTTAGCTACAGCTTTATTTTGTGTTGATCTGGAACAGAACACACCCTGAACTGTCCACGCTGCTGATCTTTTTTTTTTTTTTGGAAACAAGGTGCATTGTTTCGTTTTTTTTTAAATTTTATTTTATAAGTACATAAATGTTTTCCAAGTATTCAAGTCATGCGCATGTTCCCTTGAAGTGGAAAAATCGCATGCGATCGTGTCCTATTAGTTCAATATAAACCCCGGTAAATCACTGATTTTTGTCTGACATCCGAAATTGACTCTGAGAAACACCGAATCTGGCGGTAAACGTTCGTCCCGCTTGAATGCCCAGTGAATTTGAAGAAAACTCTGTAACCAAGGAATTCTACTTATAGCTATTCCCAGAGAAAGCTTACGTACCGGTGACAAATCTCCGCTCTGCCCGGCGTAGTGGAAGATTGCAAAACCGTGTAGTTACAGGGACGCTGACAGTGTGTTGCTTTGAAAGCGCAGGCTTCCAAATCAGCAGCTGTGACTGAAAGGATGTTGGCAATTCAGCTCTACATCCTGTTTGTAACGCGCTGGAAACGTCGCACGCTCTCAGAAAGCTGCAATGAAGTTTGAAAATTCAAATTTCTTTTGCGTTTCGGTCTTTCGTTAGATTACAAGAAGTATCCTTCTAACATATATTTCACGGAACTGGTTCAAATTTACTCGGCAAAAATGAGAGTTCGAACCCCCAGTTGGAACTGCTAAAATTACAATATTGATTTGAACATTTTTTTCTTTATTTGTGTCTGCGGATACATGTTCCGCAGAGGGGGTCTAGGGCTAAAGGCACGAGCGCCTGACAAGGCCTTAGCCCCCTCTTGGTATGCGGCGAGCATCAACGTACATATACAATACATGATATACACCAGACTTGTACACGTTACTGAAAAATAGTAAGGAATTACATTTACAATTACTCGAAGCTAAATTGTAATTTATTACAATCACAATTACCCTCCCATGAAAGTAACTGACCGTTACTCCAAAAAGTAATCCGTTACTTTCGTGGCGTTACTTTTAACATTATTGTCCTCAAGTAAGAAACAAAGGGAAGAGGGTTATTCAAGTTTTTAATGCTGCCACCTATTCCATTTAATGACCTTGAGTATTTTGAGCAACAGCTGGCTCTCGAAAGTCTCGTCAGACATTTTGCGTTATTTGTTACTCAATATGTCGACTGCTACGCTGAACACCATTTGAGCTGAGGCATTGAACATAGTGACAGTTGCGCACACAGGGACAAGGACAGAGAAGAGGAACACGTAGACGACAGACAAGCGCACACTCAGAACTCATGTATTAACGAAAGAAGAAAAGAAAGTGGTACAGAACGCGGAATCCGCTCGAGCGTTGGCCACACAGGCACGAGGGACCACAGGCCCGAGGGCTCGAGGGGGACTGGTAACATTACCCACACGAAAATGATTTTAAAAAGGCAATTTCCTCCTCTGTTAATGAAACAGACGGAAAGCTAACACATCGCTCGCCCATGCTTAGGATAATGAAAGCTTCAAAAATCTCTCTGGTGTGTTTTTCTCGGTACCTGCCTATTATCTTGGTTTTCGCTAAGGATGGCCTACAATTACAGGATTTACAGTGAAGGGGTAGATGGCCCCCCACCGTAGACTTTAGAGAGATATTGTGCTCTCGTAGCCGGTCGTTCACACACCGTCCGGTCTGTCCAACGTAGCTTTTACCACATGAAAGGGGGATACTATATACTACACTCAGGGAGCAGGGCACATAAAAGTGAGAGTGGTTCTTGTGGCACGTATGTTTTTTAAAATTGTTTACCTTAGCATGAACTTTTTGACAAATTTTAGCCATTTTTTGGGGGGCTGACATCACTAAAGGGACCAAGTAACGGCTAGCCACCTTTTTAAGATTGTGGGAAATTTTATGCATATACGGGA